GTAATTATGATGTGTCTTGGTGTGGGTCTTTTCCGGTTCATCTTGTATGGGACTCTCTGTGCTTGTGTGACTTTTTTCTTCCCCACATCAGGGAAGTTTTCTGACACTATATCTTCAAATAGGTTTTCTAACCCTTGTTCCTCTTCCTGTCATTCTGGCACCCCTATTACTTTTATGTTGCTTTGCTTCATTTTGTCCCATAGCTTCCTTAGTCTCTCCTCCTGTCTTTTAATTTTTTTCTCCAATTGCAGTTCAGTTTGGGTGTGTTTTGCTTCCCTGCCTTCTAATTCACTAATTTGGCCCTCTGCTTCTCCTAGTCTACTGTTGAAACTTTCCATGGTGTTTTTTATTGCAGCTATATTACTCTTCATTTCTTCTTGATTCTTACATAAGTTGTTGATTTTTTCATCCATTTCTTCTTGATTCTTACATAAGTTGTTGATTATATTTTTCATCCATCTGGTTTATGTAATGTATGAAGCTCATTCTGAATTATTTTTCTGACATATTTCATGCCTCTGTTTCACTTAGCTGTTTTTCTGGCGATTTCTCTTTTTCTTTCCTTTGGGAGCTTCTTTGTCTACCCATTTTTGGTCTCACTGACAGATCTAGATGTCACGTCATGCAGTGGCTGCTCCTTGGTGGCAGTGGCTCCTCGGGATGTGGTTGCTCCTTAGGCGGCCATGGTAGCGGCTGCTCCTCAGTTGGCAGTGGCTCCTCTGGTGGGTGCTGTTCGCAGCAGTGGTGTCTCCTCTGGCTGATGGGAGAGGCTGCTCACACAGCTGCTGTTCCTTGGGTGGGGGTGGGCTGATCACGAGGCTGCTGCTCCTCGCACGGGTGTAGAATACTTATGTGGCTGCTGCTCTTTGGATCAGGCTGGCTGTGTGCTGCTGCAGTTCCTTAGATGGCATGGGCTGCTCATGAGGCTGGCACTTCTTGGACAGGGGCAGGTTGTTTGCAGGGCTGCTGCTTCTCATTCAGGTACCGGCTGCTCACACAGCTGCTGCTCCTCAGACAGAGGTGGTCTGCTCACACGGCTTCTGCTCCTCAGATGGGGGACAGGCTTCTTGCATGTCTGTTGCTCCTTGTGCGGGAGTGAGCTGCACGTGTGGCTGCTGCTCCTTGGACACGGGTGGGCCATTCACTCGGCTGCTGCTCGTTGGACTGGTGCAGGCTGTGTGTGGCTGCTGCTCCTCAGACCAGCATGGTCTGCACAGGGCTTCTGCTCCTCAGACGGGGGCGGTCTGCTCGGGCAGCTGCTGCTCCTCAGATGGGGGTGGGTTGCTCACACAGCTGCTGCTCCTCGGATGGGGGCGGGCTGTTCATACAGCTGCTGCTCCTCAGAAGGTGGAGCAGCTTCTCATGTGTCTGATGCTCATCTGGTTGCAGTGCCCTGGGCTAAAGCATTGGGCCAGTCAGAGGTGAGCATGCTTCAGAATTCACAGGAGCCTGTGCCCAGGGTGGCTGGAGACTCATTGACTGTGAGACCACAGCCGAGATAGCAGGTCCCTGGCAGGGATTGGCTATCGAGTCCCAGATGTTATCTGAGGGCATCCTGGTTAGAGTTGAAGCTGGGCTCCCAGTTACAGCAGCTCTCCCATTCAAAAAGGCTAGGCCTCTGAGGATCAGCCAGTCTCCCAGTACTGTTTCCAACAGTAGCAGAGGCTGCCTAGTTAGGCAAGCCCAGTTAGCCTGCCCCCTAAGGTCTTGCGGGATCTAACTGTGCCTTACTTACACACACACCCCCCCCACCCAACCACACACTCCTCTTTTGCTCCCTCACTCACACTTGCTCCCTCACTCACTCATGCTCTCTCCCTCACTGCCGTCTTCTTCCTACCTTTGTAGTTGGGCCTGGGTGTTATTGACCCATTCATGGATGGAGTTTCCTCTCCAGGTGTCTGCTTATGTGGCTCACTCTCTAGCACCTTGGCCAGACTGGATAAAATTCACCTCGACAAGACACAACACAAAGGGAACAAAGCACAAATGTATGCATGACACCAATAACCCCAATATAAGTGAATAAGTGACCACCTGAGCAAAGAGAATTAGGGGAGAGAAAAGAAAGCACAAATGATATCAAAGAGAGAGAAAAAGATGAGAGAGAAAAGAAAAAGCAAGATAAAGGAGAAAAAAATATATATATATGGAAAACACCCCAGAACCAATAGATAAATAAAAAAATATATACAAACACCCAGCAAAGAGGGTGGGGGCAGAATCTGTAGAGGCTGAGCTTATATACAGAAAATAAGGTTAAGAATTAGATGAATATGGGGAGGACCACAAGTCAGTACAGAGGAAGTATAAAGGGGAGGAGTGGATAAGAAGAAAGAGAATGAGAGGAAAAGAATAATAATAAATTTACAAAAAAATATTTCAAAAATGGTATAAAAATAAAAATAGCAAATAAAAATAAGATAAAATAGAAGGTTGGAAAAATAATGCTAAAAGAAATAGAAAATAAACCAACAAACAAAAACAGAAAAACAAAGTAAAAAGAAGAAAAAAAGAGATAACAAAATAATAATTAAATAAAAATGAAAAAGTGAAATGTCATTCATTTGACTGGATTAAGATCCCAGTCTTCTGTACTGTACTGTTTCTCAGTTTCCTGTTGCTGGGACTGAAGATCTTTCTTTAGGCCTGTCCCTATGGACTCTCAGGGATTGTTCAGATTATTTTTTAATCCTTTGTACCATTCAGGGTGGAATCTGGGTGTGGTTGTATTGGTTGCCTGGAGACTAGAGGGAAGGGCTATCTCTTCAGGACAAAATGGCTGCCCAGGTCCGGGCTCAGGTATGACTCAGCACCAGACTCGCTGCCACTTCTCCTGGACCCCCTCCTCTCCCCAGATTCCACAATTCCACACCTTCTACCACACCTCAGCCATGGGTAAGTGTCTGTAACCGAAAGGTCCTATGAAATAGGTTCGGTGAAGAAAAGCAAAAGCCACAGAGAGGGGAAGGACTGCGCCTCTGCAAGCTCTTCTCCTGCCGGCACTGTGCTGTCTGGTCAGCCCTTCAGGCTGCCCGCTCTGATCTCAGTCTTTTGTGACTGTGGACCCAGATCTAGAATCCCCTGCCTCCAGCAGTCCTGTGGACCTTCTTTCCACAGTCAGACACTGTGCCTGTCCCCAGGGATGTGGCTTGGTGCTGTGCAGATTCCCTTTGACCCTCTGGGCTCAGAGGTCTGACAAACTCTCCTACCCAGATCCTTGATTTTACCTTTCTCCAAGGGTCCTTTGCCCTTCCTGGCTGCAAACTGTCTCACCAGCTGAGTCTCCTTTACCAATTTGGGTTGGATGTTATTTGTTTCAGCCACTCATTCTATTTGCTCATGACAAGGCTTGGGACACATCCATCTATTCTGCTGCCATTGTGTCTCCCTAAAGAACTTTTTTACCATCCCTAAAAATTAAACAATTAACTCTATTATCTCTCTTCCAAAAACCTAGTAACCTCTATTCTACTTTTTGTCTAGATACCTTATTAAGCAGAAATATACAATATGTGTTCTTTTCTGTCTAGCTTATTTCACTTAGCATAATATTTTCAAGGTTCATCCATGTTTTAGCATATGTCAAAATTTCTTTTATTTTAAGGCTTAATGTCTCAGAGTATGAATACATTGCATTTTGTTTATCCATTCATTCATACACAGACATGTGGGTTGTTTTAGGCTGCTTGCTATCATGAATAATTCTGCTGTAAAAAATTGGTATATACATATCTGTTGTTGGAGTCTCTGTTTTCAATTCTTTGGACTACATACCTAGAAATGGACTTGCTAGATGTGTAATTGTTATTGTGGTATTGGTAGATTCTATTTTAGTTTTGTAAGGAACTGTTCACACATACAATTAACACCTAAGTAACAAACTATTTTCACATGATGATTTGTCATTCACAAAAGGTTTGCTGACTTTATAAATAGGTTAAAAATACTCAGACAGCTACACAGATGCTATATATAAGAACTAGAGGCCCTAGCTGTTTTGGCTCAGTGGATAGCGAGTCAGCCTGAGGAATGAAGGGTCCCAGGTTCGAATCCAGTCAAGGGCACATGCCCAGGTTGCAGGCTTGATCTCCAGTGGGGGGCGTGCAGGAGGCAGCCAATCAATGATTCTCTCTCATCATTGATGTTTCTATCTCTCTCTCCCTCTTCCTTCCTCTCTAAAATCAATGAAAATATATTTAAAAGAAAAGAACTAGAGGCCCGGTGCATGTAATTTGTGCACTGGGGGGGTCTCTCAGCCCAGCCTACGCCCTCTCACAGTTCGGGAGCCCTTGGGGGATGTCCAACTGACAGCTTAGGCTGAACAACCGGTTGCTATGATGCACACTGACCACTAGGGGGCAGTCACTCAATGCAGGACCTCCCACAGGGGGAGTGCCACTCAGCCAGAAGCCCTGAGCTGGACTCATGGCTGGCAAGCACAGCAGCGGTGGTGGGAGCCTCTTCCACCTCTGCAGCAGCACTAAGGATGTCTGACTGCTGACTTAGGCCTGTTCCCTGGACTGCATTAGGCCTCTAGAATGTAAATAAGATGTCCAGCAGAGTACCTAGTACATAGTAAAAATTCCACAAATGTTAGGTTTCTAAATTTTATAGTTAGAGACTTCAAGCTCCTTGAATTTATCCTGTGATATAAATTATCTCAACATAACTTGTGTCTCTCTTTCAGATGAAATGGTTGGGTTCATCTGGCAAATGTGCATTTTATATAGGTGCAGAATTATAGACATTAACAAATTTTGCATTCTATTTTTCAAATGAACCCCAGGAATATTGTATTTCTCTCACTGGTAAGTTCCTAATAAAATCAAAATTAATTTTTCATCTTTTAGGAATCAGTTGGCAGAAGTGGGACCTCAAACGCCATTGCCTCAACACCTGACGATGAGAATGACAGTATAGACATATCAGAAGCATCAACAGAATCAGGTTTTTCTGCCAGTCACTCATCTCCTTTCAACATTTCTGGGAGTGCTACAAATACTGAGTTTGCCAATTCCATTTGTAAGTGTGTTTAATCTCCAAACACTGATGTCTTTTCACATATTAAATACAGGGTTTGACCACTAATTCAGGATTTGAAAAGAATTAAATCATTCTGATATTCAGTTGACATTAAGCCAGATGGATATAAGCTATAAAAATCTACTCTTCTCTGAGCCTATATGGCACCTAAATTTGAACTACAATTGAAAAATTGAGTCCCTCATTTGTAATTTTTTTGCAATCTAAGCACAGTAACTTGAAATACATTTATATTCAGAAATGTATTTTAACTGTCATGATTTGTGTTATCTGATGGTTTAGGAGTTACAGAAATGACACCTACATTTAAAAAATAAAATGCCATAGAAAAAAAGGAACTTATCATGGCTGTGTCTCATTTGTGGAAACACGCAAGCACGTATTATGTAAACATTAGTAATTTCTCTCAATATAATCTCCTTACTTCTTCACAGTATATACTGGATTAGTGGAAGTACCTGAGAAATCACCTAAGAAAACCTCTGAAGTAAATGTTAACCCACTATATGTCTCTACTGCATGTAAAAAACCACTAATCCACATGTATGAAAAGGAATTTACTTCTGAGATCTGCTGTGGTTCTTTGTGGGGTGAGTTTGGTTTCTTTAAAATGAGCTGTTGCTTCTTTGAAGATTATATTTTATCTATGTAATAAAGCTGTGAAAAAATCATAGGTATAAAACATTTATTTTCTATTACCAAATCATTACCAAGAAATTAAAAAAATATATTTATATAATTAATTTGCTCCTTTTTGCTGATTTATCTTCACTGAATGTAGTTTGATGTTTGAATTGGTGTTTCCTACCTTTTTATTCTATTTTTTCTTTTTAACCTGAATTAACTGAACTGAAATATAAAATTGAATTAGGTTATGATTTTTTAAAATTTTTGAGTTTAGTATGTTTTAATATAAGATGTGCAGCATATAATTAATGAGATATTACAAGAAATATTTCTGCAAGTTCTTGTTTTAAAATAATCTTGAGAATTTGTTGAGAAAGTTACTTCTATATCTTTGATAGACTTTTTCAGTCCTTTATTCCAGAAGAATGAATTACTAATATAACCATATTAGTAGTGCTGAGACAATATTTTACCTTGAGCCAGTTTATAGCATAAATGAAACAATAAATGAACAGAAGAAGGGGAGAAATCCAAAGGAAATGCCAATCTCCAATTTTCAAATTCATAGATTTTACTTCATGTATGATTGAACATGGGACAGAACTTTATATTAAAAATAGAGCAATGTAGTGGACATTATAGTTATAAGGATTGAACAACCTAGGTTAAAACCTAACATCCTCAAAGTTTTTGCTAATGTAATGTATCGGATTTAAGAAACCCAAGTTTACTTCATTATCATTTCAGTCAGGTGACTACCCAGTTCATGCCTGGTAATTAATTTTCATTATTTGTGAAAAATTATTTTGAAAAAGAAGAGATTACAGTAAAAATTGACTGCATTTCCTTCTCCCTCTCAGATTCCCCTGTAGGAGAAAAATGTAGTTTGTAAATCTGCCACTGGTCTAGGCATTACTTATAGAACTGGTAAAAGACAGAATGGGAAAATGAAGGCAGAGATCCTTGCCTTTACCCCTAGAGAAAAATATTCTCCAAGAAGAAGGAACATATTGAAGTAATCTTTCTTATATTACCTTGCTGATTTTCCCCTGTGTCTTAGGATATGGAGGAAAACTCCCACAGTGGTTTGAAGTACATTCGAACTTTAGTTTAATCTTCTATTTCAGTTTTGTCATTCTGGTATTTTAAAACAGTGCTTATATGTTTTTTGTTTGTTTGTTTGTTATTGTTTTTTGAGTGACTAGAACCAGCAGACAAAGAGTGTCAAAATTTAAATACACAAAAGTAGGGATTGATTTAATAGACTTTTTGCAATGTAAATATTTTAATATATGTAGTATGAACACAGAATCATTCCATTTTAAATCAGTTTACATATAATTATTTTCAAAACATTAAAACCCATAGATATAGTTAGAAATGAGAAATCAACTGAATTGATATCTTTGTAGGTGCTAGACATCTTTAATATTTAATGGTAACTTTCCAAGGGGTTGATTGATTTTTATAAAGTTTGGGACACAACTAAGGGTTCTGAGATAAAATATGGCACACTAGACACCAGCCAGTACAATATTGCCAAAGGGTATTATCTTCTATATTTGTATGTATTTCAATGAAATTTGTTCTGTTCGTAGACATTCCATTTTTACACAGAATAAGGTTAACATTAGCCTAAAATGATACGCCACCTTTATATAAATCAGAACATTGGCATAACAAAAATACTAATATAAAGTTAATTATAAAAATATAATCTGAGCTAATATAGAACTTTTCTTTTTATATATAAACAGGAGTGAATTTGCTGTTGGGAACCAGATCTAATCTGTATCTTATGGACAGAAGTGGAAAGGCAGATATTACAAAACTTATAAAACGAAGACCATTTCGTCAGATTCAAGTTGTAGAGCCACTCAATTTGCTGATTACTATCTCGGGTTTGTTTAAGAACTAAAATTAGCTGAATAATTATACAAATTAATTAGGTTTCAAACTGGGTTAAAGACTTTCTCAGGAGAAGGTGTTAATAGGAAAGCACTTTAAATATCACATTTATTTGGGACACCAGACTTTCCACTAGTATTTTTTTAACCTATTTATAATTTAAACTAACTTCTGACTTTCCTTTGGTATCTGTATATTTGATTGCAATACACCTAACCTAGGTCAATTATAAGAAAAGCCATGTGTTTTATTAATTATTTTAGAGCGGGAGAGAGAGAGAGAGAGAGAGAGAGAGAGAGAGAGAGACGAGAGAGAGATACGAGAGAGATGAGAGAGACACATTGATCAGTTGTCTCAATTACTTGCCCTGACAAGGATTTAACCTTCAAACTTTTGGTGTATGCCAGAATGACGCTCTAACCAACTGAGCCATCTGGCCAGCACTCAGGTCTTTTCTGATTATCCACCTACTACTTCACAACTCACAATTTCACCCACCCATGCACACATAACCACACTAACGTCCACTATATACCTTTCTTGTGATGTATTCGAAGCAACAAAGAATGAAGTGAATAGATAAAAATGATACTGTGTTGTCCCTGGCACAAACTTATCATAAAAGCCTATGGATAGGGTTAGTAACTAGACTGGATCCTCTAAGGCAGTGGTTCTCAACCTGTGGGTCGCGACCCCTTTGGGGGTCGAACGACCCTTTCACAGGGGTCGCCTAAGACCATCGGAAAACACATATATAATTACATATTGTTTTTGTGATTAATCACTATGCTTTAATTATGTTCAATTTGTAACAATGAAATTGGGGGTCACCACAACATGAGGAACTGTATTAAAGGGTCGCGGCATTAGGAAGGTTGAGAACCACTGCTCTAAGGCCTCTCCACTCTATTCATACAGTAGTTGAATTTCTTAGCTTTGGTCAGCCTGAGCTTGAACCTTTTAATATGAGAGAGCAAGTATATGGATGTTAGTAATGTTAGCATTAAAACTGACTATAGGCCAAAGATGGCAGACAAAAGGACAGAAAAATTTTAAAAATGGTTTGAGTGTAGAATAAAATGATGCTAAATGCAGTCATTTAGATATGTTTATATACTTCCAGCTTATACCTAATAGACATATTGTACATTGATTAATATTTATCTGTATTCTTAAATATGATTAACTTTGCTTTAATAATAAAATCCTCTATAGATGCTAAAACCTCACAATTTTTATCAGATTATACAGTCATCCATTTATAACTGCTTGATGTACATAAAAGCAACATTTAGCAACATTTGAAAATACCTGGGTGGCTGGATAACACAGTGCTTTACTTTTTATTCAGCTTTTTCTAACCTAAATGTGCCATTTTTAAAGCTGAAAATTTTTTCAAATGTGGATTATTTTTGCCTCAGATAGTACAGAGAACATCAGTGTATAAATATGCCTAATAGTTTAGTGCACACATTTATTTTACCATTTAAGAATAGAATGACAACAGATATGGATGTCTGAATTCTAACATTGTTTTTTAAAGTATCATATAAAGCTATATTTAAGATTTATCTTATAAATAAGAATCATATTATTGGGCCTAGAAATCTTTTAATCATAAACCCTAAAATGAATATAAAGCCACTAAAAAGAAACATGAAATTTTAATGGCCAGGTTTTCCTGAAGGAATTATAAAATGTTGATGGCATTTATAATTAGAAAATTAATATTAAAGATAAATTGGGTTGATAAAATATAATAAAACCATTCAACTAGTTTGTAAATATGCCAAAATGAAAGAGCACAGAGAGGTCCATCCCACTGTCCCTGAATGTCTAACAGTGAATACATTAGGCAGCCCTCTCATTCATACCCAATACCAGGGACAGTTTCTCCATCTTTGAATCCTAAAAGGATCATGACTTAGATGAAAGCCAAGATACAAATGAATGGATGGTAATTCTGTTGCCTGCACAGTGGCAGTCTTAACCTGCCCCAAAGAAATATTTTACATTCACTTCAGACAGGCACATAGGTAGCTGGTGGACACTTTTACTATCTTTTGGAAGTGAGAAACATTGCTATCACATTTACAAACTCAGAAGGGAAGACTGATGCAGTATAGTTTTTTAAAAGTGCTTTTTACCCTAATGAAAACATTTGGTTACAAAGGCAGAATGCCTTTACTTTTTATTCTTTTAGTATATGAAGAAAATAGATTGAAACACTATATTGTTTTTTAACCCATCAGGCCATAAAAACAGACTTCGGGTGTATCATCTGACCTGGCTGAGGAACAAGATTTTGAATGATGATCCAGAAAGTAAAAGAAGACAAGAGGAAATGCTAAAGACAGAGGAAGCCTGCAAAGCTATTGATAAGTTGACAGGCTGTGAACACTTCAGTGTTCGTAAGTCCCATTTCATATTTACTATAGTATACAAATTTTGATTCCCTTCACTTGGTGAAGTACATTGTTATGAAAGGCAGAGAAAGGGCAAAGTTTCAACTTCATATACAAAAATGAGTGAATTTTATTGCCACATTTTCCAGGATTTTTATGCCACAATTATGGCTGTTATTGAAAAAATATAGATTGACTGAAATAGCTATAGAAGTTAAATTTGGTTTACTTTCTCACCTTTTTCCTCTTCTCAGTCACTCTAATTACTCCATATAAACTATTATTTTCCTGTTTCTATATAACTTCAACTATATAATGCTTTAGTGTTTCTTCAATAACACACAAGATTATTTATAGGAAATTATCTTTCCTCTAAATAGCAATAAAATAGAATCATATAATAATTCCTTTTATTTTTATTTTTATTTTAT